GGGCGGTTTTAATTAAAAAAACTCGCACCCAACTGCTTTGCAGCCCACCAGCCTATCACGCCACTTAATAATGCAGCTTCCGGGTACCAACTTTGCTGTTGCGCCGTCATTCAAGTAGACTTCGGGTTAGGAGGAACCTGTAATCTGCACCATTGATGTCCTCGCAGCTCCTCGATTTTTCGCGTGATGTTTCACCCAGCCCGCTATTGTCGGAGTAGAACAGTGCCGCGAACTCCCTATTTTTTTCTTCGATTTTTTTTTCTGTACAGCCGTCAAAAGAGCACCAGTCCAGGTGCCTTTAACCAGCACATGCTAGGCACGTGTTCACCCCCGTTATTAGGCCAACTCAAGTTGACAGCCGAGTCTGAACCAGCACTTGGTGGGGATGGTGAGGTCCAGGCGACGGAGGGCTGGAGGTCGTTTCCACTGGCTTTTAACATGCTCCCCACATCATTCTCCATCCCCGGCTTAGCCGTCGGCAATTTCTTCTCGTGTGTCCCGACGGCCTGCACCACACTCCTCCAAAAATGGTGGGGTGGTACCTTGAACACCGTTTTATCGTGGGTTGTTGCGGCTGTCCCTGAAAACGGCTTCCACAATGGGGAAACCAATCTCAAAACTGTCGAACAGCTGGCAACAGCAGCAGGCACGCAATGTCAGGCGAGTATTTTCGAGGTGTTTAATATCGAATTGCCCTCGCCGCCCGCGCCCCACTTCTGCTAAGTGCGATTTAGCTACAACGTTGTTTGTTGTAGCCTGTAAGTGTCGCTGGGTGCGAAGTTCCCGTCTGTCCACATGCACTCCTGCCAAAATCGTTAATGACGTGCCGGCCAATGTAGTATAAGCCACTACACTTAACAGGTTGGGCGGGATGACAGTTGACTCGTGTCGTCTCTCCTTGTAACCGCCCTTCAGCAAAAAACTCCGAAAATCATGCACAAGCTGACGCATGTCCCTTGTCGTAAGCTGCCGTGTACAACACTCTGAAATTGTCGCGCGCAAGTTGACGATAGGCCACGTCAAGCGCCTCACAAGAAGACGACTCTGAAATCTTTGCGCATCTGTTGATGCAGATTCAATGATGCCAGCTACCGCACAAAATGAATTCCGAAATCGTCAGAATGCAGCGAAAATAACTCATTTGTCGCAACAGGCACAGGTGTCCGTTTCTCAGGCGGAGGGAGGTCACGGTCAACCATGACCGTCGAAGGCAAGGATCTAGCGGTGCCATGGAGCGCCAAAAAAAACATGGCCGCGAGGAGCAACTACACGTTCTCCTAGCCCGCTAGCGCTCAGCTCCTGGGCCCCAATGCACCCTTCCTTGTGCTCCCCCTCTCCCCCCCCCCCCCCCCCCCCCCCCCCCCCCCCCCCCTCCGAGGGGTAATACACTCTAAAAGCGGGGTAGGCTAGGAAAGTAGCTCTGATACCAGGTGTTATCAATGAGCTTACAGATGGCGCAAAAGTAGTGAATAACAAGACTGTGACTAATTGAATGACGATACCATGAAAGTGACGGGATATAAATGGGGCGAGTTCTAGCTAGGCGAGAAGCTCGAGCGAAGATGGGTCGGAAATGTTGCGATTGATGCAGGGGCGACTCGGGAGCAAGGCCTTCAAGATAAGGGTAAAACATTCTGATTACCTTGATTTCAGGATGCTGTTAATTTTTACCCTGTGGCCTCTGGATGATGTTATTTGTTCTGCGCTGAAATTTCAGGATGGCGCTGGTGTTTTGCCATATAGTGTCAGGATAAAAGACGCGTCAAAATGCATTATATGCTTGTAGGCTGTAGTGGGGTAGCCCATATAGGGTAGAACCCTTTTAGGGTTGCATACTTGTATCTCACTGCTGTTAATCACACACCATTCTGCTGTTCTCATTCTGACATGGTATCATGCGCTAAGTTAGTTCCGACTGCCGAACCTACGACTCGGTTAGGTTTGCCCCACTCCCGGGCCTCGAACGTCACTGCCCTGCTGCCCAAGCGCCCCACGCTGCCCTGCTCCTCGCGTCGCGCTGCCCTGCCCCTCACGTCGCGCTGCCCTGTCCGCGCCTTCGCACTGCCTTGCCCCGCGGGTCGCGCTGCCCTGCCAGCACGCTTTCATGCTGCCCTGCCCCGCGCGTCACGCTGCCCTGCCCCGCGTGTCACGCTGCCCTGCCCCGCGCGTTGCGATGCCCTGCCCGCACGCCGTCGCGCTACCCTACCCCGCACGTCGCGCTACCCTGCCCGTGCGTCGTCGCGCTACCTTGCCCTGCGCGCCGCGCTGCCCTGCCCGCGCACCGTCACACTACCCTGCCCCGTGCGCCGTCGCGCTGCCCTGCACTGCGCGTCGCGCTGCGAGTCTCATTCTGACAAGCCGGGGATTGCCCTGACATGTATTCAGGTACTTGCCCTCTCTGCCCTCCCTCTAGGCACATTTCCTCTCTGCCCTCCCTACCAACCAACCCTCCAGGTTGCTACAAAGGCGTGATTGGGCCTAGATAGAAGTACTAAACAGGGCCATGCTTGATTTTGTTTTGCCTTGAGAGTTCAAGATGAAGCTCTGCATGTGCCCTGAAACTACAGGATGGCCCTGAAAAAGATGCCCTCATGCCTCAGAATGCCCTCAATCCTAGCAAAGGCCTTGCTTGGGAGTCGTTTAGGGCGACGAAATAGGCCAAACCAAACTGACGCGTGGCCCTCGGGTTGTACTCGCTAAAGTGCGGGTACACTGCGGGCGTCGCTCTTCCGAACTTTGCACACGATGGATGTTTTTTCGTTACGGATAAAGGACTCCATTGGAATTATTGCTTAATTCGGGTTGCTCCAAAAAACATATATGTAGTGCTGGATGTATACTATAGTAGTGTAGAATACATTGGTTGGGTTGGGAAAACTTGTGGTGTACACTCTTTGGAATGGACCACCTCCCAAACCCTATTTTCTCTTGTTTGAACTCACTTCTTGGAAACTCCTTTGGTTCTTGCATGGTTCATGCACAAGTTGACTCTTAAGATCCTAGGCTTTACGAGGAGGTTCTAAGACTACTATAGCTTCTGCTAGTAGCTTAGTCCAATTTGACATGGTATCAGAGCTAGGAAGGCCTAACAATTTGTCAAAATAGGAGCTACTTAAGGCATTGGACCATAATACATTAGTGGAAGCCAAATTGCTTCCATCCCTCCCAAAGGGCTGCGGAAATTGTACCGTGGTGGACTCTGGACGTGGGAGGGGAGGAGGAGAGAAGAAACCCGCTAGAAATAGTGTGGATCCGTTCGGAAGGACAAGAAGAGCGACATCCATTCACGGAGGGGCTCGGTCAACATCGGCCGACCAGGGCGTGCAGCATACCATTGGAAATTTCTCAACACGGTCTACAGCAGCTGCCTTGGCATCGCCACAAATCGACGAGCCGATCAAACGTAATTCGTGAAATTCAGTCGGCGAACGAGCTGGAAAATCGCGAATCAGGGAAGATTTAAAGCGCGGAAAAGGGATTGGAGGGCGCATGCCAAGAGAGGAGGTCAGGGCACATCCAACAAGTCAATCATCGGGAGAAACGGTCGAGTCTTTGTGGACAGAAAATCGGCCAACTTCGACGAGTTTAAGCAGACACCTCGGACGCGGGATCCAGTAGTGCAATACATGATTGGAACGGCCTCATGACAAAGATTCGGCTGAATCAAACAGCTCATCATTCGGAGGTTCGAGTGCGGAGTTACGCTCCAAAAACCAAGAGGGGATGAATTTGCCCACGTCGTCTTCACCGCCGCCGTCGTTGCCTCCACCACCACCTCAACTTCAATCGTTGGTGTCTCTGCTGCAAATGGATCATGACTCGGGCGAACAGAAGCTGGAGAGTGCCAAAGTTCCACGGGAGCAGCTATTGGACTTTGAGCTTTCGATTCGAACAATGGGCAGAGGCGCACGATCTGTGGGGGTACCTTTGATGGATCGGAGGAGCGACATGCATCAAGTGATGCACGACTGAAGTGGGAGAGGAGGAATCAGAACGCATTGGTAGCAAGACGATTTTGCAATGCCTTGGTATCAGATGAGCTGACTCGCCTAGTTCAGGAGTTTGGCAGCAAGACCGAGTTGGGCGTTGCACCTGCATATGGCGGAGCAAGAGTGGTCACCCGTGTTCCTGCCAGTACAGCAGCACCATACACATGTGTGAGGGAGTTCTACCTTCAGCGCGGCTTGTGCAACCGAATGGCACTTTCTGAGGAGCTCTCTTACTGGGTACGTGGCTGCGTACTGGGCGCGTGCCGAGGACTTGAGGTCCAAGTGTTTGGCGGCAGGGGGGGGAGGAGGAGGTTGAGGAGTGGATGCTGAGGGTGCTCAAAGGACTACCTCCTCACTTTGAGATGCTGAAGGTGGTGCTCAACAATCAATCATCATTGCTTACCAAGGACCAGCTCCTTACCTTTCTGAGGAGCGAGGAGATGCGGATTGGTTTCGCATCAAGATTCCGATGGTGTAGCAACTTTTGGAGCGGGTAAGAAAGTGGGCAGCAGCGGTAGGAGGGGAGCAGCCGCCTGAGGGGTGGTGATTGACGGTGGGGCCAGCCACAACTTTACTCCTTATGCATCTGACTTTAAGAGTAAGCTTGAGCCACCTAAGATTCAGGGAGTAAGATTGGGAGATGGATGGGTGGTGAAAGCAGTTGGCATGGGTGAGGTGCTAGAGGCTGGTGCTGGAGGCCACTTGTTGAGGATTCAAAAGGTCCATCTTGTGCCTGAGATGCACACGCTTCTGCAGTCAGTCCCATACCTCACCTCTCAGAATGTCATTGTGTCATTCGAGGGCAAGGGATGTGTTATCAAACGGGGGGAAAGGGTGTTGGCAATTGGAGAAAAGGAGGGGAGAAGGGACCATGGATTGGTGTGGATGTATCTTCCTCTTGCTCGAGGCACACAAGGCAGTGCTCTTGCAGCTGGATCCTCCTCCTCATTTTCTCCTTTGACCCTTGCCCATCGCCGCCTTGGTCATACCCCCCGCACCACACTGCAAAAGATGGCTCGGGGGAGCAGTATTCTGGGCTTGGAGATTGGGGAGGGGAATGCTGATTGTTCTCCATGCGAACCTTACCTATTTGGAAAGTCGGCCGAAAAGTCGTTTCCCCATGAGGCGTCTCGTGCACTCGGGCCTTTGGATGAGGTCCATATGGACTTGTGGGGTCATGTGCGCACTGCTTCGCTGGGAGGAGTGTTGTATGTCCTCAGTCTCATTGACAACTTCACTAGACGAGTTTGGTCATTCCCCCTTCCCAACGAGGAATTTGCCACAGTCGCCAATGTCCTTCGCCAGTGGCATAGGGACTTGGAGTTGGAGCGTGGGCGGAAACTTAAAGTTGTTCGCTTAGTCAGGGGTGGCGAGTTTCTGGGGGATGCTGTGAAATCATGGAAGGCTGAGTTTGGCATCAAAACTCAACTAAGCACCACGGATACACTGCAGCAGAATGAGGTTGTGGAGAGGTGGCACAGGACGGTGGCAGAAGGGATCCGCACATTGTTGGTCGACTGTGGTCTTCCTGCTCGCTTATGGGGTGAAGCATTGATGTGGGTCGTGTGGGTGAAGAACAGGGTCACCCACAGTGCTTTGCCTGCCTCCATCACCCCAATGGAGGCGTGGTCCGGCCAAAAGCCGCATGTGGGCATGGCTCGGGTATGGAGTTGCATGGGGAGTGTCATGTTGCATCGGCATGAGAAGGGTGGCAAGCTTGATGCACGCGCTGTCATGTGTATCTCTGTCGGGGTGGAAATGGAGAGCAAGGGCTGGCGCATGCTGAACCCTTTTCTCATGCGCATTCACATTGCTCGAGATGTTGGTTTTCTTGAGAATGTGATGTGGAAGGATTGGGACAAGGGCAAGGGCTTTGGGGAGCTTCTGCAAGGTGCAGCTGAGATTTCCCAGCTCCTCCCCCTCCCACTCTCGTCACCCTCAGCAGCGGTTGATGACGCGGACATGCCACTTTCATCACCACCACCGGCACCGCTGAGTGTGTTGGTGCACCAACAGCCCGCCCCTCTGCAGCAGCTCAGCGGCCCCTTGGTCATTCAGTGGAGATCCGCTACCCCGGCAACTTCCTCTTCCTCCTCCTCTGGTCAGCATCCTGTCACTCTCTCTTTGAGTGCACTTATGCCACCTGTGACTACCTCCCCACCACCGGTTACATGGTTGCAAGTGCTTCGTATCCAGTCTGGTAGAGGTGGTGAGGAGGTAGGGGGGGGGGTGCTGGTGTGGTTGAAGGATGACGTGCTTGGCCAGGGAGGTGGAGGTTGTTGCACTAGCAGGTGTGAGCACCAGTGATGTCCCACGCACGCTCGCTGAGGCACTGCGTGGCCTTGAGGGCCCTGCTTGGAAGGCAGGCGCTGAGAAGGAGGTGAATGCCATGTGCACCATGGGTGTATGGGATTCAAAGCCGGTCGACTTACCTCCAGGTAAGAAGGCCATTGAGTTCAAGTACGTTATCCGCAGGAAGACTGACAAGGAGGATAAGGTGGTACAGCACAAGGCTCGCCTTGTTGCTAAAGGGTTCACTCAAGAGCCTGAGAAGGATTTTTATAAGGTATTTTCCCCTGTGGGCAAGCTCACCTTAGGTCGGGTGCTTCTTGCAGAAGCCACGGTAAAAGGGTGGCATGTACAACAGGAGGATGTTGATCATGGTTACCTCAATGCAGTCCTTCAGGAGGAGGTGTATGTGAGGCAGCCTGCGGGATTTGATGATGGTACAGGTAGAGTGTATCGCTTGCGCAAAGCTATCTATGGGCTCAAGCAAGCGCCCCGAGCCTGAAATGAGGAGAGCGGTACCACCCTGATTGTAGCAGGGTTTCAACGCAGCGCATGCGATGAGGCTCTATACACCAGGTTTGTGGATGGAGAGCCTATGTATGTATTGGTGTATGTGGATGACCTCTTGCTTGTGTCTCCAAGAGCTGATTGGTTAGGTCAAGGAGGTGCTTGCTCAGAGGTACCAGATCAAGGATCTAGGTGAGGTATCCACGTACATTGGTGTGGAGGTTTGCAGGTCGGTCAAGGATGGGCGGTTGGAGATTGGCCAGGAGAAGTATGTCCATGATCTTCAGGCCAGGTTTGTTGATCTGCTGAGAGAGACACATAGGGTGCACACTCCCATGTCACCCAATGATCTCTCTAAGATCATGAAAGGTACTTGGTCGAGTGAGGAAGGTGCTGCAGCTGATGTCAAGGTGTAACAGAGTCTCATTGGCAGCTTGATGTATGCTGCTGTGACTGCCCGTCCTGACATGTCCTTCGCACAGTCCTGCGTGGCACCAAGGCACATTCACATGCGTGCTACATTGAGAGCACTTAGGTACTTGATCGACATAGATGATCGTGTCATCAGGTATGAGCCCCAAGGTGGTGAGCAGGTTGTGGGATACACTGACTTGGATTGGGGTGGTGAGACTTATGGCAAGAGTCGCTCTGCCTACATCTTTAAGTTGGGAGGAGGAGCTATCAACTGGTATAGCAAAGGCAAGACAGTGTTGCTTGCAGCACAATTGAAGCTAAGTATAAGGCTCTATCAGAGGGGGCCAAGGAGGCCATTTGGTTGAGGAGCTTGTTGGCTGAGATGCATCTGGACGATGGGGGGTTCATTCCATTGTTTGTGATAATGAATCTACTGTCTCCCTTGCCCACAATCCCGTTCTCCATCAGCGCACCAAGCACATTCAGGTGGCTTGGCACTTTGTACGGGATGCGGTGCGCCAGCAGGAGGTCGAGGTGCACTCAGTACGCTCCCACCTCCATGATGCCGACATGCTCACCAAAGCTCTCACAAGCTTGCAGCTTCATGAGAATCTTGAGCGCATCAGCATGCGAGTGATGGCTTCAAAAGCCAAGACTTCATTCGCTGGAGGGGTTGTGTTTTGATTGATGGGTGCACTTTAATACTTATTGGAGCAAGAAGGGGTGTTGGAATTATGGTTTAATTTGGGTTGCTCCAATAAACGTATATGTAGTGCTGGATCTACACTATAGTAGCGTATAGTACATTAGTTGGGTTGGGAGAACTTGTGGTGTACACTCTTTGGAGTGGACCACCTCCCAAACCCTATAGGTTAAGGTTCTCTCTTGTTGGAACTCTCTTCTTGGAAACTTCGTTGGATGGTTCATGCACAAGTTGGCTCCTAAGATTCCTAGGTTTTAGGACGAAGTTCTAAGACTACTATAGATATTGCTAGTAGCTTAGACCAATCTAACAAACCCCCCAGCTCCCGAAATAACTATATGACACCCTCCTTGATTGTGTTAACCAAGTGTACCTGAGACATTAAAAACTCTTGCCAATCAAATGTTCACCCTAACAATTTTCGCAATAATTTGTTAAGTCCCCCGGATCCCATATCCGGGAGAAGACAGTATTACTTGTTAGAAATAGCATCTAAACATAGAACTGGTGGCCTAGGGTTTAGGCTAGGGCCTAGGCTTAGGAGCCTAGGCCAAGGAGGTGTTGAGAGTAGCGTCATCAAGGAGATTGAGAAGGGTGGTGTTGTCAGATATAACGTGCAGGGATGATGGACTAGGAATGTGAGATGAGTACAAGTAGGTCTAACCCTAAAGTGTTATACTCAGTAGAGGCTACCCCTCTACAACCTAGATACATACAAACACAGTTTGACACACACCCATATGCGAAGTGGGGAACAGCAAGAACAACAAGCGGTCACAAGTCCAGTCAAGCGAGGCAACAAAGCAAAGCCTAGGATGGATCTCAGTATCACCACACAGTCCGAGCACAAGAAAGCGGCCACAACGTCAGTTCACATGCACTATGATAACAACAAAATAAGTACAATTATCACAACCTAGCAAGTGTACGCATGCAGAGATATGAAGTGTCGGCCCGGGAGGCCGCAATGCTCGCACGACAAAGGAACAAAGTGCAAAGTGCTTCGTTCTGCTCGCGAGTCTGACCAAGTAGCGCAGCACCCTCTTAGCAGCCCGCCAATGCGCAGGGTGGTGTCTCCCGGGCGCAACGTAGCAAGTCCGGATGCTGAGGGGGTATGACAGGTACTCCAACTTGGACTGCCTGTCCTCAAGAACATCACAAACAAGGGCAAGCTCTGTCAAAATCAGTACAGCAGAATGAATGAACTAGGCAACAGTTGGATACAAGTAGAAACCCCTAATTGGGTTATCCCCTCTAGTGTGAACCTCACTGTAGCCTACAAGCTAACAAACATATAGTTTCACGCACCCCTATATGCAAATTGGAGGATAGCAAACACAACCAACGGTCACAAGACCAGTCAAGCAAGAGAACAAAGCAAAGCAAAGCTCAAGGTGGATCTCAATATCACCACGCATTCTGAGCACAAGCAAGTGGCCACAAGGCTAGTTCACATGCAGAGATTATAATAGCAATTGCAGTATACTGATCACAACCTAGCAAGTGCAAACATGCTAGTACAATCATATATAACAGAGTACAACAAGTGCAAGGCAGGATTAAGAGATAAGCAGGTGATGCAGAGTGGGCACAAGCCCAAGAGCAGTGCAAATACGCTGATGATCACCAGACCCAAGGGTCTTGGTGAAGACATCAGCAGTGTTGGCTCGGTACGCAAGACAAAGCTGACCATGTTGCTGCAGCTCTCTCGTGAGGAAGTAACGGAGAGTAATGTGCATCATTCTGTGCTCTCGTCTCTGGTCCTAACACAAGGCACTCATGGACTTGTTGTCAACGTACAGAACTAGAGGAGAACGAGGCCGCTCACCCAAGTCAGTCAGCAGGTAGTTCAGCCAGCGGAGCTCCTGTGAATCCATAGCCCCGGCGTAGATCTCGGGTTTAGGGCTTCAAGTGATTTCGAAGCTCGCCAAAAGGGTACACCTCAAGATTTTGAAAATAGTTACATTACAATGTGTAGTGTAACATTTCACTTGGTGTAGGCCCTAGTGAAGGGTAGTTTCGAGACCCTTCGTGGTTGGGGACAGTGTGGCACTGTTCCACATCACTGTACCTCGGCTCTTGGGGTTTGTAGGAGCTGGGAGTCATTCCCAACTCGTAACTCTTGCTAACTCTTCCTATTGTGCGTTCTAAGACTATGTTGTTGTGCCGTCAATTCTTGACGAAATCGTGCGATCTAAATTGCCTATTGTAGGCAACGTTAAGGCGCTCCAGATCCAAGTTGAATGACGTCATTTAGAGTTGTGAGCAGATCGCTGTGAATGTTTAAATCCGCTATGCAGAAGTCCGACTGTGCACTCTATCTTTCGTTTTAGGCACATTGGAGCCTACTGTGTCTATAACAAGTGTTAGCAGTAGCAAAAACCAAGTCGTTGACGTAGACAAGAACGTATAACAGCTGTAGAGAAGTGTCTGTGCGCAAAAACAGTGAAGGGTCAGCAGTCGAGGGAGCGAAACCAAGAGCCGCAACTGTAGTCCTTAGTGTGTCATGCCACTCACGGGGCGCCTGACGCAGACCGTAGACTGGTCGCCGGAGACTCCACTGGGTAACCTTAGGAAACGACCCAGTGAAGCCAGGTGGGCGACGCAACCAGATAGCCTCGTGAAGGCTGCCCTGCAAGAAAGATGCCGAGAAGTCGAGGGAGTGCAGGCTCGTGCTCGTGCTGTTCTGCAACGTGCAGTAGCACCCAAAGAGTGGTCATCTTCGGTGTGGGGGAGGAGGTCTGGAAGAAGTCGACCCCCTCACGGTGACTGAAGCCTCGTGCAATGTAGTTCGCCTTGAAGGCAGGCGGAGAACCCGTGGCCGCTTCACCCTGAAAATCCACATGCCATCGACTATGTTCGCCCCAAGTGGGGGAACTGGTTCGACGTAGGTGCATGTGGACTTCTAGGAAGCCATCTCTGCGTCCATGGCTATCTGCCACTAAGAGGAGTACGGACCCGTGATCGCAGGGTCGGGATGTCCCGTGCATCTGGGTCTCCCTCAGGGCAAAGTAGCGTGGACGCGAGACGAGGTGCAGCAGCCGCTAGGCACTCCAGCTCAAACGGCCCGTTCTCAAGGACGTCACAGCCAAGGGCAGGCTTACCCCCGACGGACGGAGGACAGGAAGAGTAAAAAACAAGAATTGCAATGTAGTCAAGGCGGCACAAAGCAACAAAGTCAACAAGCTCAGCAACTAAGGCAGACGCAGCAGCGGGCTTAAAGGAAGGGTCAGTCACAACTGTGGCAAGTAGACGAGTGACAGTCGGACTGCCAGTACGGACAAGGTAAGACTCAGGGTTAGGAACGTGGGGAAGAGAAGACGCGGGAGTTGACGGCAGGACAACGTGCTGTGGAACAGAGGAAGGACGAAGTGCCATGATGTGCGTGCCAGGGACAGGTGGAAGACAAGGACGCACAGCACGACAAGAACGGACAGGCGTGACAGGACGCGACGCAGGTTCTCTATTCTCAGTGAGGGATTCTGTCACCGCAGTGTAAGGACCAGGAGCAGGCAGTGGGGAGTGAGGCAGTAGCTGTGGCTGAGACCGGTTAGGTGGTGGAAACAGTAACGGAGGAGTAGTGCCAGCTACAGGGAACTCAGTAGCAGCAGGAGGGAGACTGAGAAGGTGACTGAGCGCAGACGGCTGCGGCTGAGTAGTCGCACCCCCAGAAACTCGAGCTCCAATAGTAACAGCACCCCCAGAACCAGTACCTCTAGCTCCACCACCGGGAGTGCCCCAACGGACAGCCCACTTGCAAAGCTGGTGCGACGAGAGCGACTCCTGCAGACTGGAACCACCAACTTCAGTACCACCAGTAGCACCTCCAGTGTCACCACCTCCAGTGTCAGCACCTCCAGTACCTCCAACTCCAGGAACATTAGCACTAGCATGTGAGAAGCATGTGCAGTCAAAAGCGCGGCTAGACAACGAGGGATAGTCAGGCTAGCAGCACGAGCAAGGTCAGACACTGGGTCAGGAATTGTAGGAAGAGAAGACGAGGGAGGTAACGACAGGACAACATGCTCCCAAGTAGCACAAGAGGTAGCAGGGGAGGCAGCACAAGACAGAGGCACCCGACGCCCAGTCAGGGAGACAGACAACGAGGAGTATTGAGCAGGAGCAGTCAAAGGGGGGTCAGGCGGCAACAGTGTACGAGACAGGTCAGGCGGCGGAAATAATAGAGGAGGAGTAGTACAAATGCGCGCCGGAGGCAGGTGGGAGTCTGAGAAGGTGGTGAAGTGCCGACTCAGGTAGCGACGACGACGGCTGCTCCAAGAAGATAGGCCGTCGCGGCAACGACTGCGTCGCACCCCCAGTCCCAGCACCTCCAGCGCCAGTACCTACAACTCCACCAACAAGAGGACTCCTAGCACCCCTAGATTCAACACCCCTAGAACCAGCACCCCCAGTCTCGACGTCATCACCTCCAAAAACACCTGGGCCCCCAAAGTCCACAGCGACAGGTTGCAGAGGAGGCGAAGACGTCTAAGGCAGAAAACCCGGAGGTGTCGCCAAGCGCTGCGAGCAGCGAGAAGTCATTGTGTCGGCAGCAGCAGGTTCACCCCCCTCAATCGGGCCAAAGGAGTCAGAGGGGGCTGTGCTAGTATTCACACAAGTATCGACACACGAAGTCTCTACCTGCTGCTGCGCCCCCCAGAACCGCCTCCTCTATTGGCTGCTCCACCCCTGTCACTCGCGCCAGCTCCACTACGACCGCCCTCGTCAGCTACAGTGGCGAGGTCTGACAGCGGAGGGAAGGGAAGCGGAAGCGCAAGACAGCCTACGGTGGCAGGAGAGGGGGGGGAGTAGCACCTAACCACAGCGGTATATAAAGCATGAGTCGACGACACCTGGTGAAAGTTGGCTCTTTGGTCGAGCTAGAGGTGAGCGCGGACTGCAAGTTTGGTGGCGGCGTCGCGCGACATCCACCGCTTGCAGGCAACGTGGTCAGCACGGTATCGCGTCCGCACCTCCTCACTAGCGGCAGCAGCAGTCTCAGCAGGAGCCTTGAGGGCCTGAAGAGACCCCGACGTCGTGGCTAGTGACACTCTGGAGGTAGAGGTGCAGACCCTCTAGCCAGGAGTCGAACTCTAGAGGGTGCCCCTCTGCGTCAAAAGCTAGAACAGTGAAAGTCGCCATTCAGATGTGCGGTAAGCGAGCGCAGGCGTGCGGGAAGCGAACTCAGGCGTACGGTAAGCGAGCTCAGGCGTGTAGGAAGCGAACTCAGGTGTGCGGTAAGCAAAGTTTGGTGTGCAGGAGGGGAATTTAAACCCTAAAATGTTGCCCAACCGTGCGGGGCAGTGCGGGGCAGCAGGGCGTGCGGGGCACGCAGGTAGTAGGGCGCGTGGGGCGCGCGGGGAGCAGGGCTCGTGGGGCGCGCAGGGCAGCAGGGCACGCGGGGCGCGTGGGGCAGCTGGGCGCGCAGGGCGCGCTGGGCAGCAATGCGTGCGGGGCACGCGGGCAGCAGGGCGACGCGGGCTGCAGGGCGCGCGGGCTGCAGGGCGTGCGGGCTGCAGGGCGCACGCAGGGCGCAGGGCAGCAGAAGCGCGCGGGGCGCGGGCGGCAAAGCGCGCGGGCAGGTTGCGGGTAGCGCGGGGAGCTGCGCACGCGGGTAGCGCCTAGGGCAGCGCGCAAGCCAGGGCATCAGAGCGTTCATGTATGCCGTATGCGCATGCAGGTATGATGTATGCGCATTCAGGTGTGCGCACAGACACGTATGCAGTATGCGCAGACACGTATGCGGTATGCGCAGACACGTATGCGGTACGCGCACTTAGCAGGGTGGCGTGGCTCGGGCGGCGCGGCTCGGCAGGGCAGGGCGGCGCAGCACGGGCAGCAGCAGCAGCTGCAGCATATGCAGGGCGCGTGCAAGCGGCGCAGGACAACGCGTGGGCTGTGTGTGGCGAGCACGGGCGGCACTAGCTGTAGGGGCATCGCGCGGGCGGTGCCAGCAGCATGCGGACAGTGCGCAGGCAGGGCGCGCGGTGCGCGGGCAGGGCGTCGGCGGTGCAGGCAGCCCGCAGACAGTTTGCGGGCGGGGCAAGTAGCGCGCGGGCAGCAAATGAAGCGCACGGGCGGTGCAGGCAGCGCGCGGGCACTGCAGGTGGCGTGCGGGCAGCGGGCACAGCGTGCAGGCAGGGCGCGCGGCGAGCTCAGGCGGCGCGCGTGCAGGCAGCGCGAGCAGGGCGCGAGCAGCGTAGCGTGCGGGTCGTGCGCTGGGCAGCAAGCGGGCAGCACGTGGGGTCGCACATGCAGGGTAGCGTGGCATGAACGAACGGGCAGGGCAGTTCGGGCAGTTCGAAACTAGCGGTGGGCCCTAATGGAAAGGGCACGGCACAGAGGAGGGTGGGGAGCGGGCTGGAGTGGGAGGGGGCGCTGGAGGCCGGCCCTGGCGCTAGCGTCTGCGCTGGCGTTGGGCGCTGGTGTCCGGCCTTGGCGTCTGCGCTAGCGCCCTTGGCTGGCGCGCCCGTATGCGAGTGCTCGCCATGGGCAGAGCGCGACGAGCGGGAAACCGACGTGCGCTAGGGCGTGCGATGGGCAGAAAACCGACGCACGTTAGGGGCGCGCGACGGGCAGAAAACAGACGCGCACTAGGGGCACGCGACGGGCACAAAACCGACGCGCGCTAGGGGCACGCGACGGGCAGCGAAGAGGCGCGCGCTAGGGGCGCGCTATGGGCAGCACAATGGAGCACGCCATAGCGAAAGCTAACGGTCAGCCCATCGAACAAAAACTGGTCCGGAGGAACCGCTGTGATAGCATTTTAGAAATAGCATCTAAACATAGAACCAGTAGCCTAGGGTTTAGGCTAGGGCCTAGGCTTAGGAGCCTAGGCCAAGGAGGTGTAGAGAGTAGCGTCACCAAGGAGATTGAGAATGTTGGTGTTTCACTATGGAAAGTGGAGAACATATAGGGAAAGAACAAGGCATTGGTGCACCACCAACTAAGTACATAACTACACTAGGTCTAACTACAAGCAGTTACAATCCATAGTTTGACAATACCTCCTATTCTTTTGTCTCCTTCGGCACGGCAGCACTGATGGTCAGCCTTAAAGCCAGCAGCTAAAATAGTGACCCCCCCCCTTCTAGTTGGGTGCACTTGAAAGTTGAAGTGCTTTTCTGTTTTTTTTTTACTGGCGAATATGATACTGGTCGAGTCTCCACATTTCGTCGCAAGGGCCTTGTTCTGCATGCGCATCAGCCCGGATGGCTACAGTAAAACAGGGTTCCCTAACATGTCACAGGTTATCAAGGCTCGCGATAAGCGCATGGCTGCCGAAGAAAAACAAACCTGAATGCATGCAGAACAGCGTTTTTGGCCCACGAAATTTGCAATGTCGCAACGTTCCGTAAAGTTTATTGTCCTAGCAAACTGGCGCGTGCATCACTGATGCGCGCATCATGCAACTGCAAAAGGTCGCATCATGCGTGCATCTGCTGGTGCGCTGCACCCTCATTGGCCAATCTGTTCAGCACCTCAGAATTTCCGCGTTATCTAAGGCCGTGTTCCGCAGGCGCATAAGCCTGATGCGCCAGAGGCTCGGCCTGATGCGGACATTGAGACATTGAATGACATTGAGGTTCGGAATTGAGACATTCAATTTCCTGACATTTAATTTCGACAGCCAAAATATTACGGGTTTCTAGGAAGTTACAACGCAGAATTCTTTTAGGGTGCTAATTAATGAGGGTTTAGGGAAAAACAGATTGACCAATCAGGGTGCCCCGCACCAGCATATGCATGCATCATGCGACTTCGAGATGTTGCATGATGCGCGCATCAGTGATGCGCGAGATTGCTAGGAGAAGAAACTTCGTGGAACACGGTCACATTTCAATTTTCGAGGGCCAAAAAGGCTGTTTTGCAGGCGTCCGGGTTTCTTTTGCTTTGGCAGACATGCGCTTATCGCGAGCCTCAATAACCTGTGACAGGTTATCAAGGAAGAATCCAGGAACCCTGTTTCACTGTAGCCATCCGGGCTGATGCGCCTGCTGAACGCAACCTAAGTTCCCAGAAACCTGTAATTTTTTTGCAGTTGGAATTCAATGGCGCTGTTCTGCAGGCGTTAAATTGCAAGAAACTGGGTCCGCAGAATCTTCCCCGATAAGTGGGCTTCTGCCTATCAACATTTGGTGATAAGCGCGGTCCGGCCAAACCTGCTTGCGCCAAATTTAACGTTGCAGACTGCAGAACGCCACTTCTTGGGCACACAAATTTATCGGGGTGAAGATTCCACGATGTTGCTTCTCCAGGCAAATGTCCGCACAACTTGTGCGGACCCAATTCTGCCTCGAGAGGTAGCATCAGCCAGCGCACAACTTATGCAGGGCAGCAATTTGAGAGATTTGAGAGTTTGACGAGACTTTGTGGCAACACCGCCCAGCAATTTGAGAAATTTGACATTTGGTGCGGCTAGAAGCTACGGGGAAGGACTGGGACCGTACATTTGATACGGAGGCAATAACGCCTGCAGAACGCGGCCAATGTCAAGAAATTGGAGATTGAAATGTTAGAAGGGCAAATTCCCAATCTGAACCTCAATGTCTAAATGTCCGCATCAGGCCGAGCCTCTGGCGTATCAGGCTGATGCGCTTGCAGAACACGGCCAAGCATGTGCAAATGCGTCGCTCCAAATTCACATTTACATCCAAGTTTGCGACGTGCAAGTCATTTACATCCAGTGCCAAATTCACATCGTGAAGCATGTCCAATTCATGCAAAGCAAGTCCAACTCACGCAAAGCGCATGCCTTAGACCATGTCCCCGCTAGGGCGGCAATAACAACATGGGAAAATCAAGAAGCGAAAAAACAATTTCAGGGGACGAGAGAAGAGAAATATAGTGCAACAGAAATGAGGACGCAAAAGGAGAGATGCGTGAGCAAAATCCGCAGAGTGGTAGGGAGATGGGAGGGGCATTGGGGTTGGTGAGATGAGTTGGAGCGAGGGCAACGGAAAGGGAGGGGAGAGAGTGAGGGTGACGGAAAGGAGGGGAGAAAGCGAGGGCGACGGAAAGGGAGGGGAGAGAGCAAGGGCGACGGGAAAGGAGGGGAGAGAGCAAGGGCGACGGGAAGGGAGAGGAGAGAGCGAGGGCGATGGGAAGGGAGGGGAGAGAGCGAGGGAACGGGAACAAGGACCTGAAGAGGGATCGACGAGAGGGGAGGGAAGAGTAGAGGAACGACGCGAGGGGATATACGTTGAGCGGAAGGAAGGGAGGATAGCAAGATCGATACTACTACAAGATGGTTGGGGATTTCGTAAGGGCGTCGGAACGGGAGGGCGTTCGTAATGAACAACGGGACGAGCGACGGTATGTGCCATTGGACGGGCGACGGGACGAGCGACAGTACGAGCAATGGGAGGCTGACACGGAGGGTGACGGGAGTGCCATGGGACGCGAGGGCGGCGGGAGGCAGAAGAAGAAGGGCGAGGGGAGTGAGGAAGGGCAATGGGGGAGAGGAAGGGCAACGAGAGAGGAAAGGCGACGGGAGAGGAAGGGCGACGGGAGATGGGGAAAGCGACGGGAGAGAGGAAGGCGACGGGAGAGAGGGAAGGCGACGAGAGAGAGGAAATGCGACAGGAGATAAGGAAGGCAACGAGAGAGAGGAAAGGCGACAGGAGAGAAAGAAGGCGACGAGAGAGAAGGAAGGCGGCGAGAGTGAGGAAAGACGATAAGAGAGAGGAAGGCGACGGGAGAGAGGTAAGGCGACGGGAGAGAGGAAGGCGACAAGAGAGAGGAAGGCGACGGGAGAGGAGGGAGATGGGAGGGTGTTTCGTTGCGAGCATGATGGCGACGTTGCAAAGAGTGACGCACCGACGGCAGTGCGAGGCCGATTGTGACAGGGAATGTGACGATTGCGCGATATGCGAACAAACATTTTGCTATTCTACGAAATTATTAGGCATCCAAGTTAAAGCATAATCTGCGCGCCTAGGCAGAAAATATATAGGTTCTCAGCTATTCTATGCTAGGCTGAAAATAGAGTCTTCATGAGTAGAAACTAGCAAGTAGTTAACCAAGATTGCATTCCCCGTCGGGACACCATCCGAAGTTTGCCCATCCGAACGGTTTTGGCGCGCGGATGGTGTCCTGGTTGGGGCAAGGCCCCACCTCTTGTCAACGGGAGTTGTGTTTTGGCCCCGTCCTCACTTGGGCGGAGCCGACTTCGTGGTCGGGTGTGAGGGGAACAGCCGAACTGCAGCAGTGGGCGAGCTGGTTGACGAGGAGGTCGACCTGCACGGGGGCCACTGCACGGGCGCCGACTTCAAGGTGACGCCGACTTCGGGTAGCCGACTTGGGTGGTCGGCTGACAACTACGCTGGTCGACAGTGGAGCTGGTCGACTAGGAATGACATCGACCTGGAGCTGGTCAACTAGGGGTGTAGTCGACCTGGTGAGGTTGACTAGAGGTGGCCGTCGACTTGGGAGGTCGACAGGCACACACAGGAGCAGCTGGTCGACGTGGTTGCTCGGTCGACCAGGTTACCTGGGTGACGAGGTTCTGCGGAAGAGTGCGACGGTCACCCAGGTGATGTTGGTGAGACCGACCTCGGTGGTGGTATCCCGAGGTCGACGTGGCGGATCAGGTGCAGTCATCGTCACGAGGACGACCTGGTGTGTGCGTTGTGCAGGTGACGAAGCTTAGCCCGCCAATCATCTGCGAGCACCTGCGAAGTAGGTGCTCTGCTGTTCTACGGGAGAAACGCTGGCACGCCGTCAACCTGCAGTGTTGGCACACCGTCGACTTTGCACTGCTGGAGCGCGGTCGACCAAGTCGTGCTGGAACGCGGTCGACCGTGCTGCACTGGCAGTCGACCTGCTTGCATGCTAGCTCTGATGTAGTCTTGTCTTGCCAACTTCTTTGTACCATTTTTGTTGTCAACTTTCTCTAGTGAAACTCTTGCCAGATTGCCCCCGTGATCTAGCAAGCAGTGTGTACACTACGAAAACGACTAAAGAACAACGAACGCAGAGATCACACGAGCATCCGTGCCTAGCCCGTAGTCTAGCTCCCATTGTAATAGTAATCTCCGCATGGTGGGGTGAGCGTGGACGGCGCACGACTTACCTTTCAGTAAGGTCGACGTAGACATCACTTGCCTAATTCGTGGTTGTAGGCCGGCAGCTGTGCGGTAGTCACTATGGTAGGAGCCGTAGGTGACGCAAGGGTGGTTGACACCCTGGAGGCACGGCTGGAGAACGCGAGGAGAAGGCACGAGGCCAACGAGTATGGCGACCTGCCTTGGGCAGTCGTCGAGGCTGACTCCGACTCCGCACCATGTGGGCAACAGAGCACCCTTCTCGACCGTGTCAAACATTATATGTTTGTGTGGTTCTAGGCTGTAGTGGGTCACACCATAAGGGGTACACCAGATTAGGGTTTCACATATTTGTACTGTTGTTCCTGCTAGTCACATCATTCTCGTTTCTCATTCTGACATGGTATTACGAGCCTAGGTTTCACCTAGGACCGAAACGTTAGGGCCCACCGTTTCCGCTAGCCGCGCCCTCGTGCGCCGCCTTTTTTCCTGCGCCTCGAGCGCCTAGTTCTTAAGGCCCCCTAAGGCCCTCTCGCGTCGCCCCTTAAGGCCCCTCACGGCCCCTCGTGTCGCCCTCTTAAGGCCTCTTACGGCCCCGCGCTAGCCTCTCACGGCCCCCGATCGGCCCCGCGCTAGCCTCTTCCGGCCCCCAAACGGCCCCGCGCTAGCCCCGAATGGCCCCGTGCGGCCCCCGCGCTAGCCTCTCACGGCCCCCCTCAGGCCCCGCGCTAGCCCCCTAAGGCCCCCGTCGGCCCCGCGCTAGCCTCTCTAGGCCCCCGAACGGCCCCGCGCTAGCCCCGAACGGCCCCCGAACGGCCTCGCCCTCGCCCTTACGGCCTCGCGCTAGCCCCGACCTGCCCCCGAACGGCCCCTCCCGCGCTCGCCCCTCTACGGCCGAGCCGCGCTGCGCGACCCAACCCGAACCGCGCCGCCCTAGCCGAGCCGCGCCGCCCTAGCCGAGCCGCGCCGTCTTAGCCGAGCCGCGCCCTCCTTACCTGAGCAGCAACACCAGTACTGAACTGCTACCACTACTGCTACTGCTACTACTACTGCTACTGCTACTGCTGCTGCTACTACTGCTGCTACTGCTACTGCTACTGCTACTTCTGCTACTGCTACTTCAGCTATGGCTAGCCCTCCAGTTCTCTCGTTCGATACTGAGGGCCGCCCGATTAAGTTTGAGACCTGGCTCGATGATCTACATCTGTTCCTCCAGCTCACTGCCAGAGAGGATATCTCGCTGTACGATCACGCACTAGGCACAGTCCCTGCTCCTGCTACTACTGCTGCTGCTACTGCTCGCTCACAGTGGCAGACTCGCGATGCCCACGCCCGCTTTGCTATTCGCAACTCCCTGCCAGTAGACGAGCGCGAGCACTTTGGCCAGCATCAGACTGCGCACGCCCTGTACACTGCTGTAGTTGCGCGCTACTCCTCCCCGGCCTCAGCTGCACTAGGCCGCCTCTCGCTTCCCTACCTGTTCCCTGACCTGTCCGCCTTCCAGACAGTCGCTGACCTCATCACTCACCTCCGCACTAGTGATGCCCGCTTCCGTGCAGCCATGCCCGCTGAGTTTCTTGCCTCCAACCCTCCCCCGCTCTGGCTCACTCTCTACCACCTAGTCACCCGCCTCCCTGTCACTCTGCGTACAGTCAGGGACCACTTCCTAGCTCGCTGCCCCACTGAGCTCACCATTGCCGCCCTAGAGAAGGAACTACTTGCAGCTGAGAAGAGTATTGTAGCTGTAGGTGCCTCTCGTGGCGACCCCCGCACCCCTTTCTTCGAGGGGTGTTCCCCCTCCCCCCTGCTCCCCTCTGTCACCTCTGCTGCTGCTGTCGACCTCCTTGGTGCTGAGCAGGTCGGCTCTGCGTCCGCTCCCAACGGGCGCCGCAGCGGCAAGGGCAGGGGAGGCAAGGGCGGTGGGGGTGACGGTGGGGGAGGCGGTGGTGGGGGTGGTGGCGGCGGTGGGGGCGGTGGCGGGGCTGGAGGGGCTAGTGGCAGCGGTGGGGGTGGTGGAGGCAGCGGCGGCGGCGGTGGTCGGGGTGGGGGCGGTGGTGGTGGCGGCAGTGGACGTGGCGGCAGCAGGGGCGGTGGTGGTCGTGGTGGAGGCGGTGGTGGTGGTCGTGGAGGCTCTGGCACTGGCCAGAGCGCGCAGCACCCTCAGTCCTCCCAGGAGCTTCGTGAGTGGTACTTACAGCACGGGGGTGGGGGGGGGGTAGCCTTAGCTGCACGTACGTCATCCGCACTGGTCGCCGCAAGGGACAGACGTGCGGGAGGGCGCACACTGCTCAGCGCTGCTTCTCTCGCCTAGATGACGCTTGGCGTGCTCAGTTTCCTGACGCCCCTGAGCTCCCTCAGTGGGCTGATCTCCTCAAGAAGGATATCGATATCTATGCTCTTGATTTTGATGTTATTCTCAAAGCCATGTATGCATTGACTATTAGTGGAGAGGAGGACCAGTACCTGTGTGTTCCGCCTGACCCAGGCATCCGCACGAGTGAGGCTGCCGTCCTAGGTGCTTGCGCGTCTGCTGCCCCAGGTGCTGGTGAGGCTACTGCTCTAGGTGCTTGTGTGTCCGCCACCCCAGGTACTACTGAGTCCACTGAGGCACTGCACACCTTCACTCTAGACTCAGGCGCTTCGCGCTGTTTCTTTCGTGACCGCACTGCTCTTGAGCCCCTTGCTCGACCAGTCGCTCTCTCGCTCGCTGACCCCTCTGGGGGTCCGGTCGTTGCGACCTCCTCCACTGTCCTTCCTTGTCGTGCTGTCCCGTCGGGCACACTGTCAGGTCTCCACCTCCCCTCGTTCTCTACGAACTTGGTGGCGGGCTGTGCGCTTCAGGATGGGGGTGTTCACCAGTTCACCCCTGCCTACGAGCGCGTGTCACACTGTACGTGTGCTCGGACGGGCCGTCACCTGGCTACCTTCACTCGGCAGCCGGGGTCGGACCTGTACACACTGACCACTGAGTCCCCTCAGGTAGCAGCGTCTGCGTCTGCGTCTGCGTCAGGTCAGCTGTCTGCCCCCTGCTCGTGTCGCTCTCTAGCGCACAAGACTGTCCTCTGGCACCACCGACTTGGTCACCCGTCAGTGCAACGCCTTCGGGGCATGCACGCCCGGTACCTTGTCTCTGGTCTTCCTCGGGTACTCCCTCCCCTCCCACCCTCCCTTGCTCCTCCTTGTCTTCCCTGTGTCGAGGGGCGGCAGCGCGCTGCCCCTCACTCCTCCTCGTTCCCCCCGACGACTGCTCCTTTGCAGACGCTCCACATGGACGTGTGGGGCCCAGCCCGCGTCCGTGGTCAGGGCCAGGAGAGGTACTTCTTGATCGTCGTTGACGACTACTCGCGCTACACCACGGTCTTCCCCTTGCGCACCAAGGGTGAAGTCCCTGATGTCCTGATCCCTTGGATCAGCAGAGCACGTCTTCAGCTGCGAGAGCGTTTTCGCTCGGAGTTTCCTGTCCTGCGCTTGCACTCTGACAGAGGTGGCGAGTTCTCCTCCGACCTCTTGGCAGCCTACTGTGCTGAGCACGGCATTCGCCAGTCGTTCACGCTTCCGGCCTCTCCACAGCAGAATGGGGTTGCTGAGCGCCGCATTGGCTTGGTCATGGAGGTCGCTCGTACCTCCTTAGTCCACGCGGCTGCCCCCCACTTTCTGTGGACGTTTGCGGTCCGGTACGCTGCGCATCAGCTCAACCTCTGGCCCCGTGTCTCCGCTCCGGAGACCTCGCCCACACTGCTGTGGAT